CCTCTGAAACTACTTGTCCAAATTTAACCAAACTTGGCCACAATCATCATTGGGGTATCTAGTTTAAAAAATGTGTCCGGTGACCCGGCCTGCTAACCAAGATGGCCGACATGGCTAAAAAATAGTACATAGGGTAAAATGCAGTTTTTGGCTCATATCTCTGAAACCAAAGCATTTAGAGCAAATATGACGGGATAAAATTGTTCATTAGGTCAACATCTATCTGCCCTGAAATTTTCAGACCAATCAGGCAACACGTTGTTGGGTTGCTGCCCCTGAATTGGTAATTTTAAGAAAATTTGGCAGCTTTTGGTTATTATCTTGAATATTATTATAGATAGAGATAAACTGTAAACGGCAATAATGTACAGCAAAGTAAGATCTACAAATAAGTCAACATGATCAAAATTGTCAATTGTCCCCTTAAGGAGTTATTGCCCTTTATAGTAAATTTTTTACAATTTTCATAAATTTTGTAAATTTTTGTAAATTTTTACATAATATTTTCCACTGTAACTACTGGGCCAAGTTCATTATAGATAGAGATAATATTAAGGAGCAAGAATGTTCAGTAAAGTAAGATCTACAAACACATCACCATCACCGAAACACAATCTTGTCATGAATCCATCTGTGTCCTTTGTTTGATATGCACATAGACCAAGGTGAGCGACACAGGCTCTTTAGAGCCTCTAGTTTACATTCTAGTTACTAATATGATATATTTGAATTTTTTTTTATCTATTTTACTGTTATTTTAGAGTTAAGTGCTTTCTTGTGCTTGTTTTTGTTTCCTACACCAAATTGCGTATGAGAGACTTAGGAAAACTGTTTCTGGCAGCATCAACAATTTGTTTAAGTTTGTAATAAGGTTTCTGAGGGGAATTCACGAAAGTCAATAATATTTTGTATACATGCATGGTATACAGTTATTTTAGTAGATTAACATCTTATTTCCATGGAGATTTTTTGCCTTGTCCCCTCATTCATTGTCTGTGACTTTGAAACTATTGCATTGTTTACCTGTTATACTTTGTGGTGAAGTCAGTTGAAGGGGAACCACGATTGGTATGTCAGTGATACGTATCCTTCAACAATAAGTAAATATTATACCGTTGGTAAGCTATAAAAAGCCCTGACATGAAAAATTGTAAACAATTCAAATGAGAAAACCAACGGCCTGATTTAGGTACAAAGTACTAAACCAATAACAAAATGATAGATAGCAACCAACAACAGCCACTGATTAACAGACTCTGACTTGGACCGGGGATACTATCATACTATCAAAAAGTTGCTTGGGATGCTTCCAAAAATTTCTTTATTTGAGAGACTTCTAATCATCCGGTTCTTGTCTCGCCTTGACAGAGTCAAAAAGCGAGACATAGGTATGCTGTTTCCGGTGTTGGCTGCGTCAACAATGTATTAGTTTGAAATTAGGTCTAGTTTATGGTGAACCACTAGTGGTAGGTCAATGATATTTGGTATGCAGTTGTATTAGCATTGGCATATCTCATTTCCATGGAGATTATTTGGCCCTGCCCCCTCAGTCATGGTCTATTGACTTTGAAACTTTTGCTTAGCTTACATGTATTAGTTTGTGATTAGGTCAGTTTATGGGGAACCGCTAGTGGTAGGTCAATGATATTTGGTATGCAGTTGTATAAGCATTGGCATATCTCATTTCCATGGAGATTATTTGGTTCCGCCTCCTCAATCATGGTCTATTGACTTTGAAACTTTTGCTAAGTTTACCTGTATTAGTTTGTGATTAGGACAGTTCAAGGGGAACCATTAGTGGAAGGCCAATGTTTATTGGTATTAAGTTGTATAAGCATTAGCACATCTCATTTCCATGGAGAATATTTTGCCCCGCCTCCTCAGTCATGGTCTATTGACTTTGAACTTTTTGCTTAGTTTACATGTATTAGTTTGTGATTAGATCAGTTTAAGATGAACAGCTCATGTTAAGTCAATGATATTTGGTATTAACAGTTTATCTTCATATTGATACTTTAGAATATCACACTTGCAATCTTCTCTGCCAAACATAACACAAGCAATGGCTTCTGCCAAACATACATGTAACACACACAAAAACTTCTGCCAAACATAAAACAAACAATGACTTCTACCAAACATAACACAAGCAATGGGTTCTGCCAAACATATCACAAACAATGGCTTCTGATAAACAGTCGCATACCAGAAATGATTTTAAAAAAAACATACCTCACAAGCAATCATGTCTGACAAACATAAAACTAGCAATGGCTTCGGACAAACATAACACAAGCTATGAGTTTTAACAAACACACAACATACCAGAAATAATTCTTAAAAAGGCATACCTCACAAGTAACGATGTCTGACAAACATAAAACTAGCAATGGCTCCAGACTAACACAAGCTATGGCTTCTGACCAACACATGATATACCTTAAATAATTATAAAAAAAACATACCACACAAGCAATCCTGTCTGACAAACATAGAATTAGCAATGGCTTCAGACATTAGAATAGAGAATGGAAATGGGGAACATGTCAAATAGACAACAACCAGACCAAAGAGCAGAAAACAGGTGAAGGCACACAAGACTAACAAAGGCTAAAGGTTCCTGACTTGGGACATGCTCAAAAATGCGGCAGGGTTAAACATGTTTTGTGAGATCTCAACCCTCCCCATACATACCACGCATGCAATGACTTCTGACAAATACATGTATAACCCACTACAAATAACCTTTTACAGGCTTAACAAATATGATAATTTTATTTTTGGGGTGAAAATTGCATTCATGCAATCAAAACCCTTATGTGGCTAGCTTGATAGTTATCCATTTTTCCAAACTTTATCATTTATTTATAAGAATAATTAAAATCCTTGATTCCAATTCAAACAATTAACAAGCAATCAACACCGAACTAATATTAATCAAAACAACAAGGTCACAAATATTCAATGGACACCCACGCTGTAAACACATGGCCATTGTTGACAAAAAAACAACAACTTTTGAATCTGGCGTCATTAAAACAATGAGAAAAGTCTAATAATTTTATTAACATTTTTTATTTTATTATGAAACAAATAAATATATACAAAATGTCTTTTAATTTCTCACCAATCTGAAAATAGAAATGAAACCTGTTACGGTGTGAGTTGCAAAAATGAGTGAACATTCATTATAATGTTCGCCGGCATGATGTTAAAACGACAAATCAAAGAATTCAACTTTCTATATAACTAATAAAGGACAATGGTGTTGTTTAAAAATTACACCGTTCCAGGCCCTTTTGTTTTCCACATAATTAATATAACCAATAATTAACAAGTTCCGTGTTGAATCTGATACCGATACCAATAGTATATGTCACATGTAGTTTTCCTGTTACCTTCTGTAAATCCCTCCTCTACCAGGAGAACCTGGAATTCTTCCAGTTGTTGTTTTATATCTATAATAATATTACACTATAGGACACTATTTAACAAAGTCTGGTTTCTTCCACCTCAATACCACTTTAATTTGGTTACCGGGTAATTAGTTAAAAAATCAAATTTAGTTTATAGCAAGTTTATTGTAGTAAGAAAACCAGGACGGGTTCAAATAGAAAGATTTTTGAAATCAGAGAAAACTGTGCACCTTACAATCAGCATGACTTTATCAGATGACAATACCAATACTAAAAATCCAGGCTGAAAATAAGGCATAGGTACTTTAATTAAGTCATGGGATGTCGCGAGGGTGTTCTAGTATCATAAATTCATAGTCTTGCAATGCTTAATACCATGCAATGTTTAATTTTCCAACTGCAATCTTTACTCTTCAGTGCTCACATGCACTTTAATTATCATAGTGTCATGCATTTATTGATATACATTGTTCTGACATGGTAAAAACAATAAATATACCAGTCATAAAAGTTGACTTATGAGACACTTTTAAAAAGGTATATAGTTACAAAATATATAAACAAAATTAACAACATTTATTAATTTTTTTTATTTAAATCCAGACTATATATATATTAATAAACTATAAAAAGATTTTAAGATTGCTGCATTAAAAATTATCGTAGATATGAAATATAACTTGATTGCATCAGAGGGGGAAAATAACTTTTGATTTAAAAAAGAACTTACTTCAATATAAAAGTTATTATTATCACTCAATAATGATAAGCGTATGTTGTGAAACAAGTTTGTTCAAACTCTTACAAACATATTGCTGAATATTTTCACAATTCATGATTTGAATGATATTATCGTCCTCATGTAAGTCTTCAATGATGGGTAAACATTAGGCACTCTCATAGAATGGATTAAAAACATAAGTCCGAATATAATGAACATATCATGAGAAAGTGTTTTTCTGTTTCAACATAACTAAGATCACAGTATTAACATAGTCTTTGTTCAATATCAATGACCTTGACTCTTTTTACATTGATTTCACTAATTACACCAGCTGTTGTATTGTTCCTACTCCAACCTATTGTTCAATAATACATGTAATAGACCTTGGAGGTACATCTCCCTCATTTATAGATATACAAAACTTATTTTTCACACTTTGATGAAATAATTGTACATAATCATGTGATGATTTTTATTTCACACAAAAGCAATTGATTTACATAAAATATATTTCAACTGTTAATTACTGAGTAAAACTAAATCATGTCTAAATAATTTATGACATAAAATAAGATAGATTTAGTTCTGTACATGATATTTATGTTATGCTGTAGGATAGCTGTTACTGGGAAAGTTAGATTGTTGGTAAGGAAAAGTATTTCATTTACAAATGACAGGTAACTTACATACGTACATTTCACTTAAAAATCTGACGAGTTTAAAATAGAATATAAATCTGTGTATAAATAGCTATGTATAAGAATACTTCAAACAGTATACAAATCACAATTTTTAACATGTTTAATATAATTCCAGTGCACAACTTTCATTACTTTTATTATTTCCTTTCTTTTATGCAGGTTACGCCTTTTGATGTGTACTTATTGTATGAGTGTATGAATAAATAGTATTTAAATGCGGGATACAGATAGATGTTACAACTGGTAAGGTATTTAATGCATTTTCACAAAACTATTTTGTATTTTGACTGTGTATCAGTGCAAGACAAGCGTCTTGATGATTAACTGTTATGTTGTACACATATACCTATATATTATCGTGTAAGTAGCTTTTATAAGGAAATCAAACCAGCTATATTAACTATAAGCAATATAATGATACTTTTTAGTAGCTAGAATTCTCATACATTGTATATGAATCTTATATTGTCTAGATGATATACCAATGTTAGATTAGAATGGTGTATATCAATACTTCTATCCTGTAAGTACATATATACTAACCATATAATACTGGCTAAAGGAAGTACATGTAGCATATACTAACCATATAATACTGGCTAAAGGAAGTACATGTAGCATATACTAACCATATAATACTGGCTAAAGGAAGTACATGTAGCATATACATTAACCATATAATTCTGGCTAAATAAACTCAATATTTTTTAATAGCTTTATATATATATACATGTAGCTTTTTAGGTAAGTGTTGTATATACATTTAGATCATGCCTCTATAAGTAATTTTATATGGTTTGCAAGTGGATGCGTTAATATCACAATTTGTTGCATAATAATATATGAGAATAATGTTGACAACCTAGTCTATATAAAGGATTTCTCCTTCAACTATTTCTTTTCATTACTAATTTATGTTAAAGTCACACAGACTGAAAATTTTAAGTACAATGAATTCCTTTCAATAAATACTTGGAATTGTATGTGATGATTTGGACATCTGAACAGAGTGGATTAATGATTATAAAACCTTGTTGTTTGAGATTGTTAATAAGTGAAAATTATATCTCTACACCACCTTCTTTAATAATTGATTATTTTTGCCATAAAATGACAAAAATAACAGTCAGCAGTAAAGCATTGTTATCAATATCACAATGATTGATATTGCTTACATACACTGACATTTGGTGGCTGTTGTGAAAACTTAGATCTAAGAAAAGCAGACATTATAGAGAACATAATTCTTTGATTGTGGATTTCTTCAAAAAATAATAATATAATGGATATTTTATTGCAGATTCAAATACTCTTGCTACATAATCCTCAAAACTCTTCATGTACCAGACAAAATATAACTGACCACAGTGGTAGTTCCTTTTGCATTTAATTTAAAAATAGTTTTAAAGTGGAGAACTAGTGCTATTCCTCTAGTAGAACTTCATGTTTAATGTTTTGTCACAAGTATTAATGTTGTTCAGTGATGGTGATCGTTCTGATAAATTTACATAATTTTGTAAAATTGTGTATGAAATAGCATGAATTAAAAAGGGAACCACTTACAATAACATATTTATTATGCAGTTGTATTAGCATTAAGATATCTCAGAGTCATTTTCATGGAGATGATGAGCCATATACGCTTGTTTATGGTTCACTTACTTTGAAAGTTTTACATAGGTTACATGTTTAAAAAGTGTTGCTACTTTAATTATATATCCTTTCAATGAAGAAAGACTGTTTTAGTAGTGTTTCTTCTTTTGGGTTTTGAAGCCACTGTGACCATTGGTATAAATAGTTTTATCTAGTGATTTCGATCCAAGTTTGAAGCAGGTGAGTTTAACTCTGACCTTAATTGACTAGGATTGCCAGTTTTCCTGTCGAAGGTCAATGGTTCTCTCTGACTCTCTCCACTAATAATAACTGACTGCCATATCATAGCCAACAGTGTGAAAAATGGTGTTAAACACTAACAGTCAGTCAATCATCTTCCACTTCTATATCATACAAACTTCTTCCACTTCTATATCATACAACCTTCTTCCACTTCTATATCATACAACCATCTTCCACTTCTATATCATACAACCTTCTTCCACTTCTATATCATACAACCTTCTTCCACTTCTATATCATACTACCTTCTTCCATGTCTATATCATACAACCTTCTTCCACGTTTATATCATACAACCTTCTTCCACTTCTATATCATACAACCTTCTTCCACGTTTATATCATACAACCTTCTTCCACTTCTATATCATACAACCATCTTCCACTTCTATATCATACAACCTTCTTCCACTTCTATATCATACAACCATCTTCCACGTCTATATCATACAACCTTCTTCCACTTCTATATCATACAACCATCTTCCACTTCTATATCATACAACCTTCTTCCACTTCTATATCATACTACCTTCTTCCATGTCTATATCATACAACCTTCTTCCACGTTTATATCATACAACCTTCTTCCACTTCTATATCATACAACCTTCTTCCACGTTTATATCATACAACCTTCTTCCACTTCTATATCATACAACCATCTTCCACTTCTATATCATACAACCTTCTTCCACTTCTATATCATACAACCATCTTCCACGTCTATATCATACAACCTTTTTCCACTTCTATATCATACAACCTTCTTCCACTTCTATATCATACAACCATCTTCCACGTCTATATCATACAACCTTCTTCCACTTCTATATCATACAACCATCTTCCACTTCTATATCATACAACCTTCTTCCACTTCTATATCATACAACCATCTTCCACTTCTATATCATGTCTATATCATACAACCTTCTTCCATGTCTATATCATACAACCATGTTCCACTTCTATATCATACAACCTTCTTCCACTTCTATATCATACAACCTTCTTCCACTTCTATATCATACAACCTTCTTCCACTTCTATATCATACAACCTTCTTCCACGTCTATATCATACAACCTTCTTCCACGTCTATATCATACAACCATCTTCCACTTCTATATCATACAACCATCTTCCACATCTATATCATACAACCATCTTCCACTTCTATATCATACAACCATCTTCCACTTCTATATCATACAACCATCTTCCACTTCTATATCATACAACCTTCTTCCACGTCTATATCATACAACCTTCTTCCACGTCTATATCATACAACCTTTTTCCACTTCTATATCATACAACCATCTTCCACTTCTATATCATACAACCTTCTTCCACTTCTATATCATACAACCATCTTCCACTTCTATATCATGTCTATATCATACAACCTTCTTCCATGTCTATATCATACAACCATGTTCCACTTCTATATCATACAACCTTCTTCCACTTCTATATCATACAACCATCTTCCACTTCTATATCATGTCTATATCATACAACCTTCTTCCACTTCTATATCATACAACCATCTTCCACTTCTATATCATACAACCTTCTTCCACTTCTATATCATACAACCATCTTCCACTTCTATATCATGTCTATATCATACAACCTTCTTCCATGTCTATATCATACAACCATGTTCCACTTCTATATCATACAACCATCTTCCACTTCTATATCATACAACCATCTTCCACTTCTATATCATACAACCATCTTCCACTTCTATATCATACAACCATCTTCCACGTCTATATCATACAACCTTCTTCCACTTCTATATCATACAACCTTCTTCCACTTCTATATCATACAACCATCATCCACTTCTATATCATACAACCTTCTTCCACTTCTATATCATACAACCATCTTCCACGTCTATATCATACAACCTTCTTCCACTTCTATATCATACAACCATCTTCCACGTCTATATCATGTCTATATCATACAACCTTCTTCCACTTCTATATCATACAACCATCTTCCACGTCTATATCATGTCTATATCATACAACCTTCTTCCACTTCTATATCATACAACCTTCTTCCACTTCTATATCATACAACCATCGTCCACTTCTATATCATACAACCTTCTTCCACTTCTATATCATACAACCATCTTCCACTTCTATATCACACAACCATCTTCCACTTCTATATCATACAACCTTCTTCCACTTCTATATCATACAACCTTCTTCCACTTCTATATCATACAACCATCTTCCACGTCTATATCATACAACCTTCTTCCACTTCTATATCATACAACCATCTTCCACGTCTATATCATGTCTATATCATACAACCTTCTTCCACGTCTATATCATACAACCTTCTTCCACTTCTATATATATATCATACAACCTTCTTCCACTTCTATATCATACAACCATCTTCCACGTCTATATCATACAACCTTCTTCCACTTCTATATCATACAACCATCTTCCACTTCTATATCATACAACCTTCTTCCACTTCTATATCATACAACCATCTTCCACATCTATATCATACAACCATCTTCCACTTTTATATCATGTCTATATCATACAACCTTCTTCCACTTCTATATCATACAACCTTCTTCCACGTCTATATCATACAACCTTCTTCCACGTCTATATCATACAACCATCTTCCACTTCTATATCATACAACCATCTTCCACTTCTATATCATACAACCATCTTCCACTGCTATATCATACAACCATCTTCCACTTCTATATCATACAACCATCTTCCACGTCTATATCATACAACCTTCTTCCACTTCTATATCATACAACCTTCTTCCACTTCTATATCATACAACCATCATCCACTTCTATATCATACAACCTTCTTCCACTTCTATATCATACAACCATCTTCCACTTCTATATCATACAACCATCTTCCACTTCTATATCATACAACCATCTTCCACTTCTATATCATACAACCATCTTCCACTTCTATATCATACAACCATCTTCCACGTCTATATCATACAACCTTCTTCCACTTCTATATCATACAACCTTCTTCCACTTCTATATCATACAACCTTCTTCCACGTCTATATCATACAACCATCTTCCACGTCTATATCATACAACCATCTTCCACTTCTATATCATACAACCTTCTTCCACTTCTATATCATACAACCATCATCCACTTCTATATCATACAACCTTCTTCCACTTCTATATCATACAACCATCTTCCACGTCTATATCATACAACCTTCTTCCACTTCTATATCATACAACCATCTTCCACGTCTATATCATGTCTATATCATACAACCTTCTTCCACTTCTATATCATACAACCATCTTCCACGTCTATATCATGTCTATATCATACAACCTTCTTCCACTTCTATATCATACAACCTTCTTCCACTTCTATATCATACAACCATCATCCACTTCTATATCATACAACCTTCTTCCACTTCTATATCATACAACCATCTTCCACTTCTATATCATACAACCATCTTCCACTTCTATATCATACAACCTTCTTCCACTTCTATATCATACAACCTTCTTCCACTTCTATATCATACAACCATCTTCCACGTCTATATCATACAACCTTCTTCCACTTCTATATCATACAACCATCTTCCACGTCTATATCATGTCTATATCATACAACCTTCTTCCACGTCTATATCATACAACCTTCTTCCACTTCTATATATATATCATACAACCTTCTTCCACTTCTATATCATACAACCTTCTTCCACGTCTATATCATACAACCTTCTTCCACTTCTATATCATACAACCATCTTCCACTTCTATATCATACAACCTTCTTCCACTTCTATATCATACAACCATCTTCCACGTCTATAATATATCATACAACCTTCTTCCACTTCTATATCATACAACCATGTTCCACTTCTATATCATACAACCATATAAATTGTACAAGTAATATGGATATTATTATCAGACCTTATGATCATGCGTTGTTGATTATTATTATATTCTGCAAACAACAAGTAACTTAGTAAATAGAAATAAGAAGATGTGGTATGAGTGCCAATGAGACAACTCTCCATCCAAGTCACAATGTGTAAAAATTAAACAATTATAGGTCAAAGTATGGCCTTCAACACGGAGCCTTAGCTCACACCGAACAGCAAGCTATTTAAGTACAATGAATTCCTTTCAATAAATACTTGGAACTGTATGTGATGATTTGGACATATTAACAGAGTGGATTAATGATTATAAAACCTTGTTGTTTGAGATTGTTAATAAGTGAAAATTATCTCTCTACACCACCTTCTTTAATAATTGATTATTTTTGCCATAAAATGCCAAAAATAACAGTCTGCTATGAAATGGTTCTCTTGAATGTCAAAGCCAGAGGTCATTTATAATCAAAAGAATATATACCTAGATAGAATTATTTACTGGAAGAATTTTAGGAGATGAATTTGTGAATTACATTGTGACACTGTATTGCACCATACTTGGAGTATTAATATCAGTTATCTCTGTGTTAAATGTAGCTTCAGATGTTTTTGATATCTTATATTTATGTTTAGTTAAATTTTATTTTCAGAATGACATATTTGAGAAAAATAATGCAGTCCACCATACAGAAGCGACATATTTTGATAGCCATATTCATCTTGGTTGTACTGATTGTAATATTACAATTTGGTGGTCCACACTACTGTAGATATATTGACATAAAGAAGAAAATAGAATACATCTGTATTGAAGATCCTGATACTCAAAACAAAACGGGACTAGAAGATATTAAACCTTTACCTCTAGTTTATCAAAACAACTACTTTATAGATAAAAGTTCAGTTAGAAAAGTTCAAGCCAAAAAATTTTACACACCATCAACAAGAAACGATTTGGACTTCACTCCAGCCGAAAAGATTCGCCTACATTCATGCATTAAAAATTTCAAAAGTGATTGGAAGAATGGCCAAAGTGGATTCTGGGATGGAGACGAACAGTATATACGACGTACCCATCACAAATATCTCATTCCTGGGGACAATGTTATGATTGAAGTGGGAGGAAATGTTGGCCAGGATGCTCAGTATTACTTGGACACGTACACGCCAAAGCATTATATCATGTTAGAACCTTTGAAATTGCTTTATCGAAAACTTCAACAACGATTTAAAAATTACACAAATGCCGTCACATATAATGTTGGTCTTGGTAAAAGAAATGAAAAATTTATGATCAAAATGGAAGGAAACGTTGGGGATGCATCTTCACCATTTTTCGGTTCTGGAGAAGGAACCTGTTCTCTCAAGGTTGTAAATGCAAATGATTTTTTCAGTGCACTTGGTGTTGGTAATTTCAAGGTTGATCTGATTACCATAAACTGTGAGGGTTGTGAATATGATTTGTTGGAGACAATTTTATCCACAGACCTTGTGTATCACTTCAAACATATTCAATTTGGTACTCATCCAACGTTGAAAAATCTTGCAGATCCTGTCGGAAGATATTGTCAAATACAAGAATGGTTGAGTAGAACCCATCAGCTTACTTATCAATATAAATTTACATGGGAAACATGGAAATTAAAAAGTATTTAGTCCATTTACATTCCATTGTTAATGTTAATTCACTTTTCATCTTGTTCATATTTTGACTAATTTTTAAATTTTCTTCATACAACTAAGTATTCTATAACAGTTATTGTCATATTATACAGCAAATCTGTGAGTCTTGAGTATATTAAGTATCAGTCCATACAAAAAACATGTATCAAGCCTACAGATATTTAATGTTGTTATTCCACTAAATATTTGTAACTGTTGGGTACAAAAGGTGAAAAAGGAATGGTTCATCTCATATTGCCTCATCATTGAAGAAAATGAAAGTCACAAAGAATTGCACTTGAGATAATTGAAATATATCCCTTTGTAGAATTGTCATAGAGCATTCCATGTATTCTAGATTTCCAACCAACGAATAACCTCACAGAATTGTCATAGAGCATTCCACATATTGTAGATTTCCTACCAACAGAGATTAAAGTCAAAGTATTTAAAATGTTAGCTTTTGGCATATCAAAAATATTTACTGTAAATTCAGAAATTATTGCAAGGGTTTTATTATTGCGAATAATGCGAGTGGGTGAGTATCACAATAATGAGAACTCGCATTCTGATATATGATGCATATATCTGTATGCCTCTTTTCCAGAACTCGCAATAATTAATCTCGCATTTATGTCCATTCTTCAAAAATCGCAATAATAAATGCACGCAATAATTTCTGAATTTACAGTATTTGTATGCTTTCCACCTTTGAATCACCTTATGTATGACTTTTACATTGTGTGGTACATGTACTTACTCATTACTTACTCATTACAGTAACACTCCTTTTATAGGCAAATGTTGGATTTTGTTAGGTTTTATGGACTTCACCCTTTTTTAATTTGCTTTGGAGTTGGGTATATTTGTTAAAATCTTTTTTATACTCATACATTCATATTTTTACATTTCATTTTTATACGACCGCAAAAAAAATTTGTGGTCGTATATTGGTATGACGTTGGCGTCGTCGTCGTCCGAAGACACATTGGTTTTCGCACTCTAACTTTAGTTTAAGTGAATGGATTTTTTTGAAATTTGACCATAAGGTTAAATACCACAAAAGGAAGGTTGGGATTGATTTTGGGGGTTATGGTACCAACAGTTAAGGAATTAGGGGCCAAAAAGGGGCCAAAAATAAGCATTTTCTAGTTTCCAGACAATAACTGTGGAACGGTGTATGGATCTCTCTGAAATTATACTACAAGTTTCCATACCACAAAGGGATGGTTAGGATTTGCTTTGGGGGGTTATGGCTCAAACCGTTTAGGAATTAGGGGCAAAAAAGGGGGAAAAACAAGGTTGTCCTGGTTAATGGACAAATACTTTAGTACAAAACATAATTTAAAGCAGTGTAAGGGAGATAAATCAAATACATCATTGAAATTATCTCCCTTACACTGCTTTTAAATTATGTATAAAGTAATGGTTAATGAACAATAAAGATAATTTAAAACAGTGTAAGGGAGGTAATCCAAATACAACGTTTTGGTTACTTCCCTTACACTGCTTTTAAATTAAATTAAATTATGTTTAAAGAAATACATATTTATAAAGGAAGACCAGTAAAAATATCTGCAAATGTTGCATCTTTTTTTTTTACAAAAAAATCCATATGAAAGATTTGACACTATATTTTTAATTCTATTATAAAATAGATTAAGTTAGCACTATGGTAAATTTAAATGGGTAATTATGGTTGCCAACTCCATTGGGAATTTGAATTGAGATTATGACCATATCTTGAGGGAAAGATTTTTTTGGGGGAAAAAGGGGGGGGGGATAAAAAGAAATTGTGGGGGGTCAATTTTTTCTCATTTCAGATTTCAGAAATTAAAAAGAATTATTCTTCAAATATTATTTTTTTTTCAAATTTCAAATATTGAAAAATTTCAAGAAGTAATCTTTAATTGCACAGTATGGCGCATTAGATTTGTAAAATCTTTGATCACATTTATTTATTTGTTATGCCGAATCTAACAGTGTATTTAGATTTTTAATTTTGGGTCCAGTTTTCAAATTGGTCTACATTAAGGTCCAAAGGGTCCAAAATTAAACTTTGTTTGATTTTAGCAAAAATTGAATATATGAGGTTCTTTGATATGCTGAATCTAAACATGTATTTAGATTTTTGATTTTTGGCCCAGTTTTCAAGTTGGTCCAAATTGGGGTCCAAAATTAAACTTTGTTTGATTTCAACAAAAATTGAATATATGGGGTTCTTTGATATGCTGAATCTAACCATGTATTTAGATTTTTTATTTGTGGACCCCGTTATCAAATTGGTTCATATTGAGGTCAAAAGGGTCCAAAATTAAACTTTGTTTGATTTCATCTAAAATTGAATTATTGGGGTTCTTTGATATTCCAAATCTAACCGTGTATTTAGATTTTTAATTTTGGGTCCTGTTTTTTAAATTGGTCTACATTAAGGTCCAAAGGGTCCAAAATTAAACTTAGTTTGATTTTAACAAAAATTGAATTCTTGGGGTTCTTTGATATGCTGAATCTAAGCATGTGTTTAGATTTTTGATTAGGGGCCCAGTTTTCAAGTTGGTCCAAGATAGGGTCCAGTATTTAAACTTTGTTTGATTTCAACAAAAATTGAATATATGGGGTTCTTTGATATGCTGAATCTAAACATGTATTTAGATTTTTGATTATGGGCCCAGTTTTCAAGTTGGTCCAAATTGGGGTCCAAAATTAAACTTTGTTTGATTTCAACAAAAATTGAATATATGAGGTTCTTTGATATGCTGAATCTAACCATGTATTTAGATTTTTTATTTGTGGGCCCCACTATCAAATTGGTTCATATTGAGGTCAAAAGGGTCTAAAATTAAACTTTGTTTGATTTCATCAAAAATTGAATTATTGGGGTTCTTTGATATGCCAAATCTAACCGTGTTTTTAGATTTTTAATTTGGGTCCCATTTTTTAAAATTGGTCTTCATTGAGGTCCAAAGGGTCCAAAATTAAACTTAGTTTGATTTTAACAAAAATTGAATTCTTGGGGTTCTTTGATATGCTAAATCTAAACATGTGTTTAGATTTTTGATTATGGGCCCAGTTTTCAAGTTGGTCCAAGATAGGGTCCAGTATTTTAACTTTGTTTGATTTTAACAAAAATTGAATTCTTAGGGTTCTTTGATATGCTGAATCTAAACATGTATTTAGATTTTTGATTATGGGCCCAGTTTTCAAGTTGGTCCAAATCGGGGTCCAAAATTAAACTTTGTTTGATTTCAACAAAAATTGAATATATGGGGTTCTTTGATATGCTGAATCTAACCATGTATTTAGATTTTTTATTTGTGGGCCCCGCTATCAAATTGGTTCATATTGAGGTCAAAAGGGTCTAAAATTAAACTTTGTTTGATTTCATCAAAAATTGAATTATTGGGGTTCTTTGATATGCCAAATCTTACCGTGTTTTTAGATTTTTAATTTGGGTCCCATTTTTTAAAATTGGTCTTCATTGAGGTCCAAAGGGTCCAAAATTAAACTTAGTTTGATTTTAACAAAAATTGAATTCTTAGGGTTCTTTGATATGCTAAATCTAAACATGTGTTTAGATTTTTGATTATGGGCCCAGTTTTCAAGTTGGTCCAAGTTGGGGTCCAAAATTAAACTTTTTTTGATTTCAACAAAAATTGAATATATGGGGTTCTTTGATATGCTGAATCTAACCATGAATTTAGATTTTTTATTTGTGGGCCCCGCTATCAAATTGGTTCATATTGAGGTCAAAAGGGTCCAAAATTAAACTTTGTTTGATTTCATCAAAAATTGAATATATGGGGTTCTTTGATATTCCAAATCTTACCGTTTATTTAGATTTTTAATTTTAAGTCCCGTTTTTTAAATTGGTCTACATTAAGGTCCAAAGGGTCCAAAATTAAACTTAGTTTGATTTTAGCAAAAATTGAATTATTGGGGTTCTTTGATATGCTGAATCTAAACATGTGTTTAGATTTTTGATTATGGGCCCAGTTTTCAAGTTTGTCCAAGTTGGGGTCCACAATTAAACTTTGTTTGATTTCAACAAAAATTGAATATATGGGGTTCTTTGATATGCTGAATCTAACCATGTATTTAGATTTTTTATTTGTGGGCCCCGCTATCAAATTGGTTCATATTGAGGTCAAAAGGGTCTAAAATTAAACTTTGTTTGATTTCATCAAAAATTGAATTATTGGGGTTCTTTGATATGCCAAATCTTACCGTGTTTTTAGATTTTTAATTTGGGTCCCATTTTTTAAAATTGGTCTTCATTGAGGTCCAAAGGGTCCAAAATTAAACTTAGTTTGATTTTAACAAAAATTGAATTCTTAGGGTTCTTTGATATGCTAAATCTAAACATGTGTTTAGATTTTTGATTATGGGCCCAGTTTTCAAGTTGGTCCAAGTTGGGGTCCAAAATTAAACTTTTTTTGATTTCAACAAAAATTGAATATATGGGGTTCTTTGATATGCTGAATCTAACCATGAATTTAGATTTTTTATTTGTGGGCCCCGCTATCAAATTGGTTCATATTGAGGTCAAAAGGGTCCAAAATTAAACTTTGTTTGATTTCATCAAAAATTGAATATATGGGGTTCTTTGATATTCCAAATCTAACCGTTTATTTAGATTTTTAATTTTAAGTCCCGTTTTTTAAATTGGTCTACATTAAGGTCCAAAGGGTCCAAAATTAAACTTAGTTTGATTTTAGCAAAAATTGAATTATTGGGGTTCTTTGATATGCTGAATCTAAACATGTGTTTAGATTTTTGATTATGGGCCCAGTTTTCAAGTTTGTCCAAGTTGGGGTCCAAAATTAAACTTTGTTTGATTTCAACAAAAATTGAAAATATGGGGTTCTTTGATATGCTGAATCTAACCATGTATTTTGATTTTGGACATTGGACCATAATAGGTAAATTAAAAAAAATCAAGTTCTTAGACCACATTCTTTCTGTGTCAGAAACCTATTCTGTGTCAAATATTTAATAACAATCCAAATTCAGAGCTGTATCAAGCTTGAATGTTGTGTCCATACTTGCCCCAACTGTTCAGGGTTCGACCTCTGCGGTCGTATCAAGCTGCGCCCCAGCGAAGCATTTTATTAGATAAATGTAAATTGCTTTAACCCAGTCACATTTAAATTACCTTAAGATCATTTTTCAAGATGCATTGAGTAACTAGTGATCTATATATTTGAATATTAACATGATGTAAAGATAATTACAAGTATCACATGATCATGTATGTCTTGTAAATGGTTGTTTGTAGTTTTTCTGTTGGTCATAGTCTTGTCTATCTGATTTTCAGTTTACAAATTTTAATGTTTTCATTGTACATTGTAGCTTCATTCTGTTTTAGTAGTCAGAGACATACATGTACAACTTTTTATTTGTTTTATGTTTTAAAATACTGTTGTCATGCTTAATATTTAATTTTTACAAATCAGTCAGCTTTTACAGATGTAAGCATCTAAGGTTGTATTTATTTCATATTTTGTTGTAGATTTTACTGGTTGTAATGCAAAATTGACTCAGACATTAAAGAATACAACATGTTTGTGCATAAAATTGTCTAAAGTTCATAGATCTGAAGGTTACAAGCATGTTTTCTTAGTTAAATTATACATTTAAATAATTGTATGCTTTATCTGACCTTATTTTGTTTATTTGAACAATGAAAGTACATGTATTATAAAATACACATTATTCATAGATGGGAAAGTAAGATAATTAGGAACTGTTAAAATAACAAGTAATTGTTTAATTCAAAATAGTGAAAATTTTTTGTCAATATTTGGGGTTAAGACTGTACAAAGATAAACCAGGTTACCAGTTTACAAAATTGTACATGTGTGTTTTACCATTCTGGTCAAGGTAAAGATATTTACAGATCCTACAGACAGTTATAGGTCCTGAATGCACTATTTTGGCCCTGAAAATGAAGTTTGCTATCTTGCCAAGAGTCAATTATATTTTTTTTTATATATGCATATTTAGTCAATTTAGGAAGGGCTATTCCTTGAAAAAATTTATGGTGGGGGGGTGTTGGACAACAATTTTTATGCCCCCGCCGTAGCGGAGCAGGCATCAAGTTTACCCTTGTCCGTCTGTACGTCCCAAAGTTGGTTTTTGTTCTCTAACTTAAGTTAGCCTAAACCAAATGTTATGAAACTTATACACAATGCTTTTTATCACAAAACAGATCAAGTTGGAATTTTGTTGGTGTCACTTTTACTGTTCTAGAGTTATGCCCCTTTACAAACAGAAAAATTGCTGAATTTTTCATTTCTGTTCTCTAACTTAAGTTTGCCTCAACCAAATGTTATGAAACTTATACACAATATTTATTACCACAAAACTCAGATTTGGGTAGTGTCACTTTTACTGTTCTTCAGTTATGTCCCTTTATAACTTTATATGATATGCAAGCAGGGACATCATCTTTGTCCAATGGACACATTCCCCATTTATTTTGTACTGCACCACCCAAAATTTTTATTTTCATTTGTAATAGA